TGTCTGTGAACACCCATTTGTAATGATCATCCGCACTTTAAAAGACACAAATAGAGAGAGCTTATTGAGCCTTCAGGTTTGCTTCTTATGGTCATATTACCGGTGCTTCCATAAGCACCCAAATTTTATTTAAAACACTGTCACAGAGCATTCTTGATTTTATGCCATCTGTGTAGAAAATCGAACCTGAGTACAGCAACATAGGAAAGAAATTATTGACATATGGACCAAAGTAGGTTCATCAGGGGTTATAAAGTCATCCCATAGTCTCCTTGTATATACTCTACTTTACCTTTATTGTGTTCCATATTACCTTTATTATATGGAACAAAGTAGTTTCATCAGGAATTATAAAGTTATCCCAACGTCTCCTTATACATACTCTACTTTACCTTTATTACAGCAAAGAAGACTTTTCCATCATAAAATAAAGATCTGGGATTTATTATGAAGTCATTGTGAACATTCCCAGCACAGCTCGCCAATACTGATCCTGCTAGTTCAGCATGTTTATCTCTGCCCTGTGCCCCCTCAATCACAAAGTAGCAGCAAATAGGGTCTAAAAGCCCCTTCCAGTTCAGTTCTAATATTGAACAGAGAATACCACCAATTATTTTTTCCTGAAGCCAAATATACCCCCTCAAAACTGTTGCTTTATTTATTTTGAAACTTAAGCTTTTGCTCTTCAAATGGTACTTACGGTACATCGAACCTGTCTTTGACTGGGTCAGTGTTACAGAAACTTTTAAACTTTACCAAAAATGGGGACATTCTGTTTCACACCACCGTATTTTGACATTACATAGCTTTCATTTTTTTTTTTTAAATCAATTTCCTTGCAAAGGCATATAACAAGTTAGACTCCTGGGTCTAAGGGAGGCAAGTGGAGGGTACAGATTCTTGGAAGAATTCATGGAGTTGGGAGGGCTGTCTCAGAAATTGAAGTACTTGAGCAACCAAAATAAGTAAGATCCAAGGGTCTCAATATCACCCAGTCTTTATACTGCTCTTAGGTTGTTCTTTTTTCCATCGCACTTGGGAGTCTCAGAAGCTGTGTTCTGGCTGATGTGGCAGGCGTAGTGCTCTCTGAACACTAGAAGTAAAGAGAACCTTGCCCAAGCAACCTGAGGTGGGGCAAAAATCTACAGGTAGCAGTGAGGGTAGTGATTGGACACACAAGGTTAGAACATTTTTCTGGCCCCGGCATAGAACTCAATGGTTTTCGTGGAGTCTGAGTAAAGCTGAACTGCTGAAGACAGAAGCAAGATCCCATCGAGGTCTCAGAGGTCAGTTCAGGAGCAGAAACACAGTGTTGTTTTTTCAAAGAGGAAAACCGCATTAGCTGAGAAGGTTCAGTGTCCCCACAAATTCTAAATCTTCTCAATGTGTAATATCACATAGCCACAGTTGTCAAGAAGAAAATCTGTAGATAGTTATATCTTTCCAGGAAAAATCTTTGACAGCTTTCATGGCTGGTTGTATTACATGTTAATAACAATGTAAGTTTTCCTGGAGCTTCATTGCCATTATTAAAGTCTATCTCATAATGGACATTTGGAGACCGCCTAGAAAAATGTGGCCTCTGGTTGGAACTCGTGAGGTAGTGAGGAGATGACTAACAAATGAAGGGACTGCACTTCACAGCTTCTCTCTCTCTCTCTCTCTTTCTCTCCTTCCTTCCTTCCTTCCTTCCTTCCTTCCTTCCTTCCTTCCTTCCTTCCTTCCTTCCTTCCTTCCTTCCTTCCTTCCTTCCTTCCCTCCCTCCCTCCCTCCCTCCCTCCCTCCCTCCCTCCTTTCTTTTTCTTTTTTTTTATGGAGTCTTGCTGGGTTGCCCAGGCTGGCATACAGTGGCATGATCTTAGTTCACTGTATCCTCTGCCTTCCAGGTTCAAACAATTCTCCTGCCTCAGCCTCCAGAATAGCTGGGATTACAGGCATGTGCCATCACACTGGCTAATTTTTGTATTTTTAGTAGAGATGGAGTTTCACCATGTTGGCTAAGCTGGTCTTGACCCGCTGACCTCAAGAGAGCCACGAAAGTGCTGAGATTACAGGTATGACCCACTGTCTATGGCCTACAACTTCACATTTATTTTCAATAATTTAGGATCACTCTGGAATAACCTTAACATCTGCTCTGCCTGCCTTTGCCCCCCAAAAGTACTTAGCCTGTGTCCAAATAAAGTTTAAATAATCTAGCTGCACTGTTTCCAAGTGCAAACTATCTAGGGTTTGGTCTTCAAAAGTACAAGTAATCAAAAGGTTGTACCCCAATTAAACAAGTTTTAATAATAATTTGATGGAATTATGTTTTCTATGAAGAAGGATACAAAATAGAGTGGTAACTTTCATATATAGCGGAGAAGGGTGCCATGCTCTCACAAAATGAATGGAGTCAGATCATTTTAATAGTTTAATAAGTATCACGAATATTGGAGAGACATGTCATAAATTTCAAGTTAGTGCCAAGTCTAGGAATATCTAGCAGTCTATTTGATAAGGAAATATTTTCTTTTATATGAACCTATTAATGAGATAGATGAAGTTGTTTTTAATTTTTAATTAGTTTTCCTTAGTCACATATTCAAGGGGGCATACTACTGTTTGGTAAAACAAGATGATTCAACATCAGGTTTTCGTTTTTAAAAATGAAAGAGCTGAAAAACCTTGTTTTGTCACAGCAATGCCATCCAATTATTCAAATTTTTTGAGATCATAATTCAAAAATTACATTGTGATTTAGCTTCAAAAATTTTTTTGTAATGACCTTTGAATTGACAACTCATTAAAACTTTCTGTAGTTTGGATAAAAACAAAAAATTTGAAATGATCTAAACTAAAAAAATCATGTTTCTCAAAATCTACCTCCTACTCCTTCAGCTACCATGCCACGTTCAACTCTTGAACGTGAAAAGCATTGAAAAATTTAAGTTCTGTTAATTTCAATCCACTTTCACCAAAGAAGTATTGTTTGTGAGAAAGCCATAATCTCATCAATAATGCCTTTAAAAAAATTCAACAGAAAATATGAACTAGTAACTGATCATGATAAGAAAATAAAACCCAGAAAAAGCAGTCCTAAGGCAGAGCAACTTCTGTCTTCAGTGTGAAATCACCATTGTCTCTTGGAAGGGGTTTCTCTTTCAAAGCAGTTTGCTGTCCGGAGGGTGCTAAAGGCCCATACAAGTTTATTCTTCCAAATAGGAAGATGTAGAAAAAAACTCAGATATCAGAAATGATCCAAGTATTTAGCCAAAATGATTATGATATAGGTTGCTTCCTTCATCCAGATGTGGCCAATTTAAGGGTTTGAAGAAGATATTAAAATTGTGGGTAAATTCAGGGTAGATTGAGACACTGAAGCTCTGGCCCACAAAGTCTTCTGTCATAGGGAACATGGAGCAAGTACTTTTCCTCCCAGGATTTCTTTTCTGGCCTTGAGTCTAAGATCACATGATTTTTTGGTACTTGTTAAAAATGTGGCCCTCTGTAATCCCAGTACTTTGGGAGGCCAAGGTGGGCAGATCATGAGGTCAGGAGATCAAGACCATCTTGGCCAACATGGTGAAACCCCGTCTCTACTAAAACTACAACAAATTTAGCTGTATATGGTAGTACTTGCCTGTCATCCCAGCTACTTGGGTGGCTGAGGCAGGAGAATGACTTGAACCAGGGAGTCGGGGGTTGCAGTGGGCCGAGATCATGCCACTGCACTCCAACCTGGCTACAGAGCGAGACTACATCTCAAAAAAAAAAAAAAAAAAAAAAAAAAAAGGAAAAATTGGGCCGGGTGTGGTGACTCTCGCCTGTAATCCCAGTACTTTGGGAGGCCGAGGTGGGCAGATCACAAGGTCAGGAGATTGAGACCATCTTGGCCAACATAGTGAAACTGTGCCTTTACTAAAAATACAAAAATTAGCTGTGCCTGGTGGCGCTTGCCTGTAATCCCAGCTACTCAGGAGGCTGAGACAAGAGAATCGCTTGAACCAGGGAGTTGGAGGTTGCAGTGAACCGAGACAGAGGGAGACTCCATCTCAAAACAAAAAGGAAAAAAAAAATAGACCGGGCGCAGTGCCTCCCGCCTGTAATCCCAGCACTTTGGGAGCCCAGGCGGGTGCATCACGAGGTCAGGAGATCTAGACCATCCTGGCTAACACGGTGAAACCCGTCCCTACTAAAAACACAAAAAAATTAGCCGGGAGTGGTGGCACTTGCCTGTAGTCCCAGCTACTCAGGAGGCTGAGGCAGGAGAATGGCATGAACCCGGGAGGCGGAGCTTGCAGTGAGCCAAGATCTTGCCACTGCACTCCAGCCTGGACGACAGAGCCAGACTGTGTCTCCAAAAAAAAAAAAAATAAAAAATAAAATAAAATAAAAATAATAAATAAATAAAAGTGTTCCTTAAACTTGATCGTACAGTCTGCCTGCCTCAAACGGTTTGGCTGCAGTGGGGGTGTGTTTCCTCACATCTCATAGACTTCTAGGGCCTCTGCTACTACCTCCCCTACCGAGACCTGGGTCATTCCAGTCATGGCCATGGATGTGACCACGTTCTAGGACGCTGAACTGCCAGAGATGGGCAGCATCAGACTTCTAAAGGCTTCCTCTTTCCCTTTCCTACCCACAAACACAGTCACACTGCCTCCCATAATGTGAAGTGCCTTGTGGATAGAGAGTCTGTTCGTATTTTAGGAAGTGGAGTTGAATGTGTGTTCATAGCAAACTAGTAGGAACAGCCCAGGACACAGGGAACATTGCAAACACAGAGCTGCATACGGGAAAAGTCAAAGTGTGGATCTCATCTACTGATCAGGTTAAACAAACATCACCGAGTTGCCATCAGGAAGAGATTTATTTGGTTTGAAGTAGTCTAAACAGAGGCGTAGTCCAGTGAAAAATGAACAGGTTTCTTGCAAATTGATGTAGAGTTGAAGTGCTGAAACTCGCTCACTGAAACTTCCCACTTGACACTACTAGTGCCTTATGACCCTCAAGGTAGATTAGACATTGACAAAAGCACACAGAAACACCACCAAGACCTGATTTCTGCCTGTTTCCACTCCCAATCCTATGCTTAGCTACCTTTGGGTTCTTAAGCACCCTCTCCGCGGATGCGGCGGGCCAGCTGCATGTCTCTGGGCATAATTGTGACACGTCTGGCATGGATGGCACACAGGTTGGTATCTTCAAAGAGGTTCACCAGGTAGGCCTCGCTGGCCTCCTGCAGGGCGCCAATGGCCGCGCTCTGGAAGCGCAGGTCCGGGCTGATGGCCTGGGCGATCTCGCGCACCAGGCGCTGGAAAGGCAGCTTGCGCAGGAGCAGCTGCGTGGACTTCTGGTACTTTCTGATTTCGCGCAGCGCCTGGGTGCCAGGCCTATAGCGGTGAGGCTTCTTGATCCCTCCTCTAGGCGGCAACCTCTTGCCTGGGGCTTTGGTGGCCAGGGGCTTCCTGGGGGCCTGCCAGTTGGTGGCTTTCCGGGCGGTCTGCTTGGTGCGCGCCATGGCCTGGGCTGTAGCCTCTCCCCTCTCTTTGGGCCGAGCCTGGCTGGCTGCAGGCGGTGCTGGCGTCAGAGAGTGAGGGCAGTGGTGCTGTGGATTCAGGATTCAGAGAGCCTGTGAGTTGAGATCCATGCGCATGACCCTCCTACACACTTAGTCCCTGCAAACCCAGCCCCAGACTTACCAGCTCTCAGGTCTGTGGGGCAGAGGCTGGGCTGTTTAGTCTCCCCACAGGGTCCTGGGTTTTTTTGGTCTTCACAGCAGCGGCCAGGAATCTCCCTCGCAGGCAGTCTCTTTCTGACTGGAGATCTCTGGTCTCAGTAAAGCCCTGCCTCTTATAAGGGGCTCAGATGATTGCATTAAACCCACCCAGCTACCCTCCATTGTACTCCCTGCTTCACTAGATCCTCAAGCTCATCAGGGTTGTGAAAATCCAATCAAGTCCCCGCGTTCTGCACACACCCAAGGGAGGGGCAAACCTCTGGCATGTGCCTTGTGGGAGGAATGGTAGGTGGGTGGGTCACCCAAAGTTCTAGGTGTGAAAGATAATCTGAAAGTTTACATTTTTCCATCGTCATGGAAATATTGACAGTGGAAAAAATTTTTTAGCAAAGTCGAAAGGTAGCCAACGTACACATCTGCTCCCAAACACCAAGGCCTGAGATCATGAGGTTTTATCAGTTCCTTTGAGAATGAAGTGTGTCGGGAGGGGGGTTGGAGGGGGTATGGAAATTGGAAAAATTTGAAATGGTCACTTCTCTGTCAGGGATTCTCCTGTGACATTTTCTCCCCAAAAGTGACACTCATGAAAATCTTCTTGTAGCCTCCAGCAGATTTGACTCCGGATAAGCCAAAGCTTTCCTGAGAAAAGAATCACATGTGACTGTCACTGGTTTTCCCCTCAGCCCCCTCAAGCTCCTTTTCCCCTTTGAAGGGGGAAGGGAGCCTTAGCTGAGCTACCCTGCCATTGCCCATGATGGGAATGCCATGAGGTCCTGAGAAGCCAGCCTTGACCTCACTGACCTGCTGACCCGAGGTCACAGCTGAGCTAAGAAAACATTGAACGTATTTTGTTATTTCAATATTTGTAGGGGTACCTGTGGTTTTAGGTGCCATACATAAATTGTGTAGTTGTGAATTCTCTTCAAATACACCATTAAAAGACTTTTGTGATACCTGTAGTAGAAATTAATACCCAATTCCATGTAGGTACGGCACACAGAACAAGAGATTCCATGATATCAGTACTTACAAAATAAGTTCATATGAGTGTTTTAAAATTCGAGCTTCTTATTATTACTGTTTTGTTGTTAAATTTTTTTAAGTGTGTTTCAATAGCTTTAGGAGTACACGTTGTCTTTGGTTCCATAGATGAATTGTATAGTGTTGAAGTCTGGGATTTGAGTGCATTCATCACCCAGTTAGTTTACATTTTACTCAACGGGCAGTTTCTCCTCCGTCACCCTCCTCTCACCCTCCCCACTTCTGAGTCTCTGATGTTTAGTATACTACACTGCATGCCTTTGTGGACCCATAGCTTAGCTTTCACTTCTAGGTGAGATGGTGCAATCTATTCGCTTGTAGATTCCTGAGTTACTTTTCAGAGAATAATGACCTCCAGTTCCATCCAAGTTGCTGAAATGACATAGTTTCATTCCTTTTTACGGCTGAGTAGCAGTCCATGGTGTATATGTTCCTGTTTTCTTTTTGTTTGTTTATTATTAGTATTATTTCAGTAGTTTTTGGGGAGCAGGTAGTGTTTGGTTACATGGATAAGTTATTTAATGCACAGAATTTCGGAAATTTTGGTATGCCTGTCACCTGAGCAGTGTACACTGTACCCAATGTGTAGCCTTTTATTCCTCACCCCCTTCCACCCTTCCACCCAAGTCCACAAGTTTCATTGTAACATTCTTATGTTTTTGTGTTGTCATAGCTCAGCTCCCGTTTATAAGTGAGAACATATAATGTTTGATTTTCCATTCTTGAGTTACTTCACTTAAAATAGTGGTCTCCAATTCCATCCAGGTTGCTGGGAATACCATTATTTCTTTCCTATTTTTGGGTGAGTTGTATTTAGTGGTATGTGTGTGTGTGTGTGTGTATGTATACATATATATATATATATAAAATATATATATGCATATATATATAAAACATTTTCTTTATCGACCCGATTGATGGGCATTGGCTGGTTTCTTTCTTTCCTTTTCTTTTTTTGAGACGGAGTCTCACTCTGTCACCCAGGCTGGAGTGCAGTGGAGCGATCTCGGCTCACTGCAAGCTCCGCCTCCCAGGTTCACGCTATTCTTCTGCTTCAGCCTCTGGAGTAGCTGGGACTACAGGTGCTTGCCACCATGTCAGCTAATTTGTTGTATGTTTAGTAGAGACGGGGTTTCACCATGTTAGCCAGGATGGTCTTGATCTCCTGACCTCATGATCCACCCACCTTGGCCTCCCAAAGTGCTGGGATTACAGGCATGAGCCACCACGCCCAGTCTGGTTTCATGTTTTTGCAATTGTGAATTGTGCTGCTATAAACATGTGTGTGCAAGTGTTTTTTTCATATAATGACTTATTTTTCTCTGGGCCGATACCCAGTAGTGGAATTGGTGGATCAAATGGTAGATCTCCTTTTAGTTCTTTAGGGAATCTCCACACTGTTTTCCATAGTGGTTGTGCTAGTTTACATTCCCACCAGCAGTGTAAAAGTGTTCGTCACCTCATCCACCATAACATCTATTATTTTTTGATTTTTTAATTATGGCCATTCTTGCAGGAGTAAGGTGGCATTGCATTGTGCTTTTGATTTACATTTCCCTGATCATTATTGAACATTTTTTCATATGTTTGGTGGCTATTTGCATATCTTCTTTTGAAAATTGCCTATTTATGTTTTAGCCCACTTTTTGACGGGATTATTTGTTCTTTTCCTTGCGGCTTTGAGTTCCTTGTAGATTCTCAACATTAGTCCTTTGTAAGATACATAGTATGTGAATATTTTCTCCCACTCTGTAGGTTGTTTGTTTACTCTGTTGATTATTATTAAGATTTTTGTTGTGCAGAAGCTTTTTAGTTTAATTAAGTCCCATCTATTTATCTTTGTTTTTCTTGCATTTGCTTTTGGGTTCTTGGTCATTAACTCTTTGCCTAAGCTAATGTCTAGAAGAGTTTTTCTGATGTTACCTTCTAGAACTTTTATGGTTTCAGGTCTCAGATTTAAAGTATTTGATCCATCTTGAGTTGATTTTTGTATAAGGTGAGAGTTGAGGATCCACTTTCATCCTTCTATATAAAGCTTGCCAATTATCCCGGCACTATTGGTTGAATAGGGTGTCCTTTCGCTCCTTTACGTTTTTGTTTGCTTTATCGAAGATCAGTTGGCTGTAAGTATTTGGCTTTATTTCTGGGTTATGTATTTTGTTCCATTGGTCTATATGCCTATTTTTATACCAGTAGCATGCTGTTTTGGTACCTATAACCTTGCAGTATAATTTGAAGTTGGGTAATGTGATGCCTCCATATTCCTTCTTTGTACTCAGCCTTACTTTGGCTATGCAGGCTCTTTTATACTCCCATATAAATTTTAGAATAGCTTTTTTCTAGTTCTGTGAAGAATGATAATGGAATGTTGATGGAAATTGCATTGAATTTGTAGATCGCTTTTGGCAGTATAGTCATTTTTACAATATTGATTCTACCCATCCATGAGCATGGGATGTTTTTATATTTGTTTCTTTCATCTATGATTTCCTTCAGCCGTATTTTGCACTCTTCCTTGTAGAGGTCTTTCACATCCTTGGATAGGTATATTCCTAAGTACTTTATTTTTTGCAGCTATTATAAAAGGGGTTGAGTTCTTGATTTGATTCTTAGCTTGGTCACTGTTGGTTTTTAGCAGTGCTACTGATTTGTATACATTGATTTTGTATCCTTAAACTTTACTGAATTCGTTTAACAGATCTAAGGGCTTTTTACATGAGTCTTTAAGATTTTCTAGGTATACAATCATACCATTGGAGACAGTGACAGTTTAACTTCCTCTTTAACAATTTGGATGCCCTTTATTTCTTTGTATGATTACTCTGGCTAAGACTTCCAGTACTATGTTGAATAGGAGTGGTGAGAAAGGGCAACCTTGTTTTGTGCCAGTTTGCAAAGGAAATGCTTCCAGCCCTTGACCATTCAGTATGATATTGGCTGTGGATTTATCATATCTGACTCTTATTATTTTGAGGTATGTTCCTTCAATACCTAGTTTATTGAGAGTTTTTAACATGAAGTGATGTTTAATTTTATGAAAGGTCTTTTCTATATCTATTGAGATAATCATGTGGTTTTTGTCTTTAGTTCTGTTTATGTGATGAATCACATTTATTGATGTGTGTATGTTGAACAAGCCTTGCATCATGGGGATGAAGCCTACTTGATTGTGGTGGATAAGCTTTTTGATGTGCTGCTGGATTTGATTTGCCAGTATTTTGTTGAGGAATTTTGCATCAATGTTTATCAAGGATATTAGCCTCAGGTTTTCTTTTATTGTTGTTATCTCTGCCAGGTTTTGGTATCAGAATGATGCTGGCCTAGTATTTTGGAATAGTTTCAGTAGGAATGGTACCAGCTCCCTCTTTTTTTTTTTAAATTAACCTCTGATAGAATTCAGCTGTGAATCCTCTGGTCCTGGGCTTTTTTTGATTGGTAGGCTATTAATTACTGCTTCAATTTTAGAACTTATTATTGGTCTATTTGAGAATTTGATTTCTTCCTGGATCAGTCTTGGTAGGGTGTTCATGTCCAGGAATTTATGTATTTCTTCTAATTTCCTAGTTTGTGTGCATGGAGGTGTTGTTTATAGTCTCTGATGGTTGTGTGTATTTCCCTGGGGTTAGTGGTGATATCCCCCATGTTTCTGATTGTGGTTTTTTTTTTTTTTTTTGAGACGGAGTCTCTATCACCATGCTGGAGTGCAGTGGCACTATCTCGGCTCACTGCAACCTTCACCTCCTGGGTTCAAGCGATTCTCCTGCCTCAGCCTCCTGAGTAGCTGGGACTACAGGCATGCGTCACCATGTCCAGCTAATTTTTGTATTTTTAGTAG